GTTTCCATGTTCATTCATGTTGCACCATGCAGCAATACTGCATTTTATGGCTAAGTAATAGTTCTAGTGTATGGATGTATCACTTTTGTTTATCTATTATCCATACTTTTATTCATCAGTTTATTAGAGTGTATTTGTTGTTGTTGTTCCTTTTCAGTTGTTTCTACTTTTTGGCAGTGATAAATAACATTGCTATGAAAATTTGTGTACACACGTGTCTGAGTGAACATATGATTTCATTTTGAGGGGTGTATGACAAGGAGTCAAATTGCTAGATCATATAGTAACTTTATGTTTAATTTTTTGAAGAACTACCAGAGTATTTTTCAGTCCACTTCACTGTTTTACATTCCCATCAGTAATGTATGAAGCTTCTAATTTCTTCATATTCTCATCGGTATCTGTTCCTTTCCATCCATTTTATTCTAGCTATCCTAGTGAGTTTGAAGTGATACTTTATTGTGGTTTTGATCTGCATTTTCCTGTGGCTAATAATGTTGAGATTTTTTCATGTGCTTGTTAGTTACTGCATGTCTCTTTAGAGAAATGTTTGTTCTCATCCTCTGTCCCCGTTTTATTGGGCTACTTTTGTTATTGAGTTGCAGGAGATATTACATAGTATGGAGACTAGTCCTTTATAAGAAAGATGGTCTGCAAATATTTTCCCCTATTCTATAGATTATATCTGACCTTCTTTATAATGTTCCTTGAAGTACAAATGCTTTCAATTTTGATAAAACCCAATTTGTCTATTTTTTCTTTTATTATTTGTGTTTTTGGTGTTATATCTAAGAAATCATGGCCTAATTTAAGGTTACCAAGACTTATAGCTATTTTTTCTGCAAGTGGTACAGGTTTACATTTTATATTTATGTTTGTAATCCATTTTGAGTTAATTTTTATGTATGCTGTTAGGTATGGATCCAATTTTATTCTTTATTTTGTGGATATCCAGTTGTTCCAGCACCATTTGTTGAAAGATTATTCTTTTCCCATTTGATTTCTTTGTACCTTTGTCTGAAATGACTTATCAATAAAGGTAAGAGACTACCTTGAACTCTCAATTCTCTTTTATTTATCTATTTATCTGTCCTTATGCCAGTACCTAATTTTTATATCTTTGTGGTAAGTTTGGAAATTGTAGTAATTTGGGAAAACGCGATTTCTCAAATTTTGTTCTCTGTTTTTGAGATCAATTGGGCTATTCTTGCATTTTCATCTAAATTTTAGGATCAGCTCATCAACTTCTCTAACAAACTTATCTGGGATTTTGATTGCGATTGCATCAAATCTAGAAAAATTTTGTTAATATAGCTATCTTAATGATATTAATTCTTCTAATTCATAATGATGGAAAGCATTTCCATTTATTTTGGTCTTCTTTAATTTCTTACAATGATTATTTTAGTTTTCAGTGCACAAGTTTTCCAATACTTTTGTTAAATTATTCCCAAATATATTTATTATTTTAGATGCTACTGTAAATATGTTTTAAGAATTTTATCTTTGGATTATTCATTGTACTGTATAAATAAAATTGATTTTCATTAATTTTATTTAGACAATCTATTATCTAAATTAATTTATTGGCTCTAACAGTTTTTATTATTACCGTGGATTCCCTAAGATTTTTTTGTGTCTCAGATCATCTATAAATAGAGTTAATTTTACATCTTCCTTTCCAATCTTGATACCTTTCATTTCTTCTTTTTATGCCTATTTGTACTGGAAAGACCCTCCAAAAAGGTTCACTAGAAGTCATGAGAGCAAACATCCTTGTATTGTGCCTGATTTTAGGGAAAAAGCTTTCAGTCTTTTGCCACTAAGTAGGATGTTAATTGTGGTCTTTTAATAAATATTCTTCATTGAGTTGAGCTTCCTATTTCAAGTTTTTTGAGTATTCTCTTTTTATGAAAGGGTGTTGATTATTTTCTAATGCTTTTCTTCTGTGTTTATTGAGATAATTGGCTTTTGTGTTTTATTATATTAATGTGATTTACTATATTAATGTAGTATACTATATTAATATATTTTTATATTTTAAATAATTCTTGGATTCCTAGGATAAATACCACTGGACTATGGTGGATAATCCTTTGTATGTTGCTGGATTCAGATTGTTAATATTTTATCATGGATTTTGCATCTATATTCATAAGAAGGATAAGTCTGTAGTTTTCTTTCTTGTAATGTTGATGTTATTAGTTTTTATATCAGAGTAATACTGACCTCATAGTTTGAGTTGGGAAATGTTCCCTTCTCTTCTAGTTTTTTGGATGAGTTTGTGAAGGATTTGGTATTAATTTTTCTTTAAATGTTTAGTAGAATCATCAGTGAAGCCTTCTAGTCCTGAATTTTACTCTGTGGGATTTTTTTTTATCAATAAAAGGATTATAAAGGGAATACAATGAATATTGTATATACAATATATATACAATGAATATACAATATATATCGAATACATTTGTATTCGATAACCTAGATGAAATGATATCCTGGAAACATGCGAACTACCAAAACTCAAGATAAAATAGAAAATTGAAATAGATATAAGAAAAGAGATGAAAATAATAATAAAAAAGACAATAAGAAAACTGCAGACATATGTCCCTGATTAATATACATGCAAAATCTATAATACCAAAAGCATTTATTTATTTGTTTTTATTTACAGTTTTTATTTGTTGATATCTCAATTTGGTAAGACATTGTTCTTATATTTTCTTTTAGTTAGTCACAGGTGGCTTTCTTTAACTTACTAACCATGTTTCAAATAGCTGATTTAAAATATTTGTTTAGTAGGTCCAATCTTGGTTTCATCAGGTACAGTTTCTGTTGACATTTATTTTTACTATTTATTTCTTTGCATGTCACATAATTTTTATTTCAAAACTGGACATGTGAAATAATAGTGTGGCAACTCTAGAAATTAGATTCTCTCCTATCTGTGTGTTTTGTTGTTGCTATTTTCTTTGAACTGCAGCCAAGAGCATCTTAACTGATACCCTTCTCTATTCAGAATAATTCATGGCTTCCAGTTCTAACCTCCAGTCTGATTTTGAAGAACTAGATTTAATTCAAAAACTCCTGGGATAAATTCAATTGGCAAAACCTGGATGATTTACCCATGTTCTATACAATTACTATGGTAAGAGTGTGCAGTCCTTTGATTGTTCCAGCTGAGTAGTCAGATGGAAGTAAGAGTGGAACTGTGTCTGGAAGCCTCCACCTGACCACATGATTACAGATAGGAAAAAACAGTTTTCTCAAAGTAGAATTATATTGTTCTGAATAGACAGGATAAAAAAAATCCTTGCAAAATGCAGTTTGTCTTTCTCAAAAGGAATTGTGATTTATTGGTAATTACAATATGGCAAAATCAGGAGAGAAGCTATCCTGTGTCCTTAGTCTACTTTGGTTTCTCCCTTGTTCCACACTCCATGATTGTTATTATAACAAGTTTCATAGCCCTAAACTCTGTGAATGAACTTTACGGTTAGGACTTCTCTGACCTGTGGCAACACTGAAGGGCTTTGATGTAAAGGCTTCTGGTGGGAGGAGAAAGAAGTACTAAAGAAAAAAAATAAATGGAATTCTACTTGTCAGGAAATGTATACCTGATTTTTCATGGATAATATAAATAATGTGATCAAGCATATGCTGCCAAACATCTGGCACACCACATAAATTCAAAAACATTTAGCAATCAAGCAGTGATTTTTTATTTAGAAATTCTGATAAAGCTATATTCATGATTGCATTTTAATCAAGTTACTATATTGCCTTTGAATGTTATCATAATTTCAAGGTTTAAATAATGATTGTGTTTTTGTGTTTCTTTTGCATTTAGAAAAAGCAATTATCATCCAATGAATGGATTTTGATGAAAATGGCGTGGAGAAGTAATTATCTAAGTTCAATTCTTATACATAATCATAAGCCAACCTTTTAAAGTTTAATGAAGGTTTTGCCTCAGTCCACCCTATTACCTCAATGTAGGCAATAGTGCCATTAATTCAAGTGGTGCAATATTCTTGATACAAATTATGACTAGGAAACTACACTAAACAAAGTAGAGAGAGGGGTATCTGGAGTCCCTTGTGGGCTGATCCTATTTAGGCTACGGGCATAATTTAAAAGACTAGATTTCTAATAAGAATCATTTCCATTCCGCTTTTCCTGTGTAGAAATAAATATTTCATGACTTTCGGGCTGTCTGAAATTCAGTCTCGTTCTATATCCTGTCTTTTGGAGCCATTGCCAGTACAATCTCAGAAGCTGCAGACGACAAGGGGTTGATAATGAAAGTGAGGTATGTGCTATAGCTATTTGCTGTGTATTTTACCTCCCTTCCAGCTAAACGATATCAGCGGGAAGACAAGCGGCTGTTTCTCTGCAAAGCCCTTGATGATTATTTACTGGAACAAACTTTTTGATTCACAGATTCTCAGAGATAGGTACAGCCTTATTTAATACAAGAATTTCTCTTACATTCTTAAATTTTGTCATTCATCTTCTAAATAGATTCACTGACTGGAATCCACACTTCCTGAAGACACAATCCATTCCTATTGCACATACCTTTTAGAAACCTCTTCATTGTATGAGCTGCAATTTAACTTCTTAAAAGTTCAGGCATTGCACTTGTTTTATCTTAAGTGGAGAGGGAAAACTGAGAAACTTCATACAAGGTTTCACAGAAACATTTCAGTTTAGATATTTTTGTTCAGGTAATAATACACAGTATTAGAAAAGTGATATAAATACTGCTTTTGCCCTTCATTGAGATATTTGACAGTTTCTCATTATTATGAATGTTGTGAAAATATAGGCTAAGTGGTAAGATTAATTCATACTACGTAAAGGCCATCCAAAGGGTGCCTATTAATGGATTTCTGTGAACTTGGAGTTTGGATGCAAAAGGTTTTTTTTTCTTGGCCCTGTCCCATTCGATATTTGTGTCAATACTTTGAATTAGAATTAAGAAAGAATATACTTACCAATATGTAGATGGCATGATGTAGAGAAGAGGCGCTTTTATGTATAACAACTAATAAAATAAAAAATATAGCACATTAGTTGTACAGGCTAAATCTAATCATAAACTTTTAATAAGGGTAGACATAGTCCTTTTCAAGTAAACATTGGAGGTTTATAGCTTAGAAACATGATATCAAGAAAGCCTAGAAACTTTAGTTGACTGAAAGAATATATGTACTCTTATACAGGAGTTAACAAATTGAATCCCACTGTCTGTGTTGGTAAATGACATGGTATTGAAACATAGCTGTCCTTACTCATTCACAACATGACTAAGGCTGCCCTCGTGCTACAACAGTATTGCATATTGCAAGATGAATTTGTGGACCAAAAAGCAAAAAACATCTACTATCTGGCCATTTATGAAAAATTGTGTTGGCCTTGATCTAATGCAAATAGTTTTTGTTAATACATATAGATGATCCATGTATATGGAGGTAATAACCCTTGATGTTTTTGGCACTACTGCTTAGTTTTATCCTTTTTAATAGTTTCAGTTCTGGACTCCACATTTTGCGAAGGACATTACCAACTATCCAGAAGACAGTGATAGGAAATGTAGAGGGGCTGCAAAAAAGCCATGTTACATGAAGAACTATGAAAGAATCTAGAAATAATTTCTCTAGAGGCAAGAAGATTCTTAGGAAATAAGGTAGCTATATTTGTGGTTTCAAATACGTGAAAAATAATTGCACAGAAATTATTTGCTATATTATGAAGCTCTAGAGAGCAGACCTAGGAAAATGAGTTAATGAAATATATGGAGTTAGGGTTTAGCATATTAAAGAACAATCTACTGATTAAAATTATCCAAAAATAAATTCTATTACATTGGGAGGGCATTGTTTCCCTCTGTGGAGAGAACAGAATCAAAAAGGCACATCCACATTTTTGGATATGTAGATATGATTTTAGAAACAATAAAAAACATACTCTTTGATAACCTTTTTGGCCCCTGCAAATGCTGAGACTGTACTATTTTATGTCTGCTACCAACCACAACTCATTCAGACTTCATTTTGTTGTGACTGGCTTCCAGCTTTGATCTCATCTGTTCCTTGTCCTGGGCCTATGTGGTTTGGCAGGAATCCCTTGAGACACAAGCACCTACCACAAGTTCCAATTACCTAGTCCTAACGTCTTATCTATAAGACTTTTCTCTTAGATGGAATCCCACTTCAATTATTTTATCCAAATGATTGTAATTCTGGCCTCTGGCTAGACAGTGGCAGCCTAGTCCTAATTGAAGGCCTAGGATCATGCTCATTCATTCAAAAAATATCCACTTTTATTTTTTGTTTACTTTTTTAAAAAGTAATAATTTTATTTATTTATTTTATTGCATTTTAGGTTTTGGGGTACATGTGAAGAACATGCAAGATAGTTGCATAGGTACACATGTGGCAGTGTAATTTGCTGCCTTCCTCCCCTTCACCTATATCTGGAATTTCTCCCCATGCTATCTCTCCCCAACTCCCCATCCCCCGCTGTCCCTCCCTATTCCTCCCAACAGATCCCAGTGTGTAGTGGGATCTACACTTCTCACTGTTCAACACCCGCCTATGAGTGAGAACATGCGGTATTTCATTTTCTGTTCTCGTGTCAGTTTGCTGAGAATGATGTTCTCCAGGTTCATTCATGTCCCTACAAACGACATGAACTCATTGTTTTCGATTGCTGCATAATATTCCATGGTGTATATTTGCCACATTTTCCCTGTCCAGTCTATCAACGATGGGCATTTAGGTTAATTCCAGGCCTTTGCTATTGTAAACAGTGCTGCAATGAACATTCGTGTGCATGTGTCCTTATAGTAGAACAATTTATAGTCCTTTGGATATATACCCGGTAATGGGATTGCTGGGTCAAATGGAATTTCTATTTCTAAGGCCTTGAGGAATCGCCACACCGTCTTCCACAATGGTTGGACTAATTTACACTCCCACCAACAGTGTAAAAATGTTCCTTTTTCTCCACATCCTCTCCAGCATCTGTTGTCTCCAGATTTTTTAATGATCACCATTCTAACCAGCGTGAGATGGTATCTCAATGTAATTTTGATTTGCATTTCTCTAATGACCAGTGACGATGAGCATTTTTTCATATGTTGGTTGGCTTATGAAACATATATATGTTTCATATATGTCTTCTTTTGTAAAATGTCTGTTTATATCCTTTGTCCACTTTTGAATAGGCTTGTTTGTTTTTTTCTTGTAAATCTGTTTTAGTTCTTTGTAGATTCTGAATATCAGCCCTTGGTCAGATGGGTAAACTGCAAAAATTTTTTCCCATTCTGTTGGTTGCCGATTCACTCTAATGACTTTCTTTTGCCGTGCAGAAGCTGTGGAGTTTGATTAGATCCCATTTGTCTATTTTGGCTTTTGTTGCCAATGCTTTTTGTGTTTTGGTCATGAAGTCCTTGCCCATGCCTATGTCCTGAATGTTTTTGCCTAGATTTTCTTTTAGGGTTTTTATGGTGTTAGGTCTTATGTTTACGTCTTTAATCCATCTGGAGTTGATTTTAGTGTAAGTTGTCAGGAAGGGGTCCAGTTTCTGCATTCTGCACATAGCTAGCCAGTTTTCCCAACACCATTTATTAAACAAGGAATCCTTTCCCCATTGCTTGTTTTTGTCAGGTTTATCCAAGATTGTATGTTTGTAGACATGTTGTGTTGCCTCCAATGCCTCCATTCTGGTCTATATCTCTGTTTTAGTACCAGTACCAGTACCATTCTGTTTTGATTACTGTAGCCTTGTAGTATATAATGAAGTCTGGTAGTGTGATGCCTCCCACTGTGTTCTTTTTGCTTAAAATTGATTTGGTTATGCGGGCTCTCTTTTGGTTCCAGATGAAGTTTAAGGTGGTTTTTTCCAGTTCTGTGAAGAAGGTCATTGGTAGCTTGATGGAGATAACATTGAATCTGTAAATTATTTTGGGCAGTATGGCCATTTTCACAATATTGATTCTCCCTAACCATGAACTCGGAGTGTTTCTCCATCTGTTTGTGTTCTCTCTTATTTCATTGAGCAGTGGTTTGTAGTTCTCCTTGAAGAGGTCTTTTACGTTCCTTGTTAGTTGTATTCCTAGGATTTTTTTCTCTTTGTAGCAATTGTGAATGGCAGTTCGTTCTTGATTTGGCTCTCTTTAAGTCTGTTATTGGTGTATAGGAATGCTTGTAATTTTTACACATTGATTTTGTATCCTGAGACTTTGCTGAAGTTGCTTATCAGTTTCAGGAGATTTTGGGCTGAGATGATGGGGTCTTATAGATATACTATCATGTCGTCTGCAAATAGAGACAATTTGGCTTCCTCCTTTCCTATTTGAATACCCTTTATTTCTTTTTCTTGCCTGATTGCTCTGGCTAGAACTTCCAGTACTATATTGAATAGGAGAGGTGAGAGAGGGTATCCTTGTTTAGTGCCAGATTTCAAAGGGATTGCTTCCAGTTTTTGCCCATTCAGTATGATATTGGCTGTTGGTTTGTCATAAATAGCTTTTATTATTTTGAGATATGTTTCATCAATACCGAGTTTATTGAGGGTTTTTAGCATAAAGGTTGTTGAATTTTGTCAAAGGCCTTCTCTGCATCAGTTGAGATAATCATGTGGCTTTTGTTTTTGGTTCTGTTTATGTGGTGAATTATGTTTGTTGACTTCCGTATGTTGAACCAGCCTTGCATCCCCGGGATGAATCCTACTTGATCATGGTGGATAAGCTTTTTGATGTGCAGTCGCAATTGGTTTGCCAGTATTTTATTGAAGATTTTTGCATCTATGTTCATCATGGATATTGGCCCGAAGTTTTCTTTTCTTATTGAGTCTCTGCCATGTTTTGATATCAGGATGATGTTGGTCTCATAAAATGATTTGGGAAGGATTCCCTGTGTTTTGATTATTTAGAATAGTTTCAGAAGGAATGGTAACAGTTCATCTTTGTGCGTCTGGTAGAATTCGGCTGTGAACCCATCTGGACCTTGGCTTTTTTTTTTGTGGTAGGCTCTTGATTGCTGCCTCAATGTCAGATCTTGTTATTGGTCTATTCATGGTTTCGACTTCTTCCTGGTTTAGGCTTGGAAGGATGCAAATGTCCATGAATTTATCCATTTCTTCCAGGTTTACTGGTTTATGTGCATAGAGTTGTTTGTAATATTCTCTGATGATGGTTTGAATTTCTGTGGAATCTGTGTTGATTTCCTTTTTATCGTTTTTTATTGCATCTATTTGATTATCCTCTCTTTTCTTTTTTATCAATCTGGCTAGTGGTCTGTCTATGTTGTTGATCTTTTCAGAAAACCAGCCCCTGGATTTATTCATTTTTGAAGAGATTTTTGTGTCTCTATCTCCTTCAGTTCTGCTCTGATGTTAGTTCTTTCTTGTCTTTTGCTAGGTTTTGAATTTTTTGATCTTGCTCCTCTAGCTCTTTCAATTTTGACGATAGGGTGTCAATTTTGGATCTCTCCACTCTTCTCATGTGGGCACTTATTGCTATATATTTTCCTCTGGAGACTGCTTTAAATGTGTCCCAGAGATTCTGGTGTGTTGTGTCTTCATTCTCATTGGTTTCGAAGAACTTCTTTATTTCTGCCTTCATTTCATTGTTTATCCAGTCAACATTCAAGAGCCAGTTGTTCAGTTTCCATAAAGCTGTGCGGTTCTGAGTTACTTTCTGAATTCTGAGTTCTAAGTTGATTGCACTGTGGTCTAAGAGACTGTTTGTTATGATTTCCATTGTTTTGTATTTGCTGAGGAGTGATTTACTTCTAATTATGTGGTCAGTTTTAGAGTAGGTGTTATGAGAAGAATGTATATTCTGTGGATTTGGGGTGGAGAGTTCTGTAAATGTCTATCAGGTTTGCTTGTTCCAGGTCTGAGTTCAAGTCTTGGATATACTTATTAATTTTCTGTCTGGTTGATCTGTCTAATATTGACAGTGGAGTGTTAAAGTCTCCCAGTATTATTGTGTGGGAGTCTAAGTCTCTTTGTAAGTCATTACGAACTTGCCTTATG